GCAATGGGAGTGCATTTCCATAAAATTTAATAAACAATCTATAAAATTTTTGGAGTCCCCTGACACATTTTTGTTGTTGTCTGTGCTACTTGCAGTGCGTTTCTGTATGTTCATGTGTTGCCAGTATTTTCATGCACACATTTAGTTAGAGATTGACAAATTAATGTTTACTATTTACATCTTCATAAAATCTAATAAGCAATATATAAACTTTTTGGGGTTCCCCGACACGTTTTTGTTGTGGTCTCTGCTATTTGCAGTGCATTTATGTATGTCCATGAGTTGTGAGTATTTTCATGCATAACAATCTATAAATACAATCAAGGAAAAAAAAAACAATTGAAATAAAGTGTTTTATCATTTCTCAAGTCTAACGGTTTGCAACTACAGTAACTGTATGATAAAAATAAAAATAATTCAATAAAATGAATCATAGTTAAGGTCACAAATGGTACAATTTCCTATACCTGAATGTTTTTAAAATCATTATACAATCACTGGCATCAAAAACACATACAAATAATAAATTAAAATACAAACTCAGCATATCCTGCAATGTGACTATTGTGACTGATCACATTGCGATATCTATTGCTGAAACGATATATTGTGCAACCCTACTCTGAATTACACCACTTCCTCATTCAAGGTGAAATAATTCACCAAAAGCAGTTGTATGTAATGACGTTTATAGGATGTGTTCTTATCTTCTGTAGATATCAATGAATGTTCACATCAGCCATGTGGGAATGGCACGTGTAAAAACTCTGTTGGATCATTTAACTGTATCTGCCATCACGGATTTGAGCTCGCCACTAATAACTACTGTACAGGTAAAGTTCATGGGAACATTTTACAACTGATGGACAGTATTATAGTACATGTTTAAAGTACAGTTGTTCATTTGAAATTACCTTTTTGAATTTCAGCTGGAATCAATAAATAATCATCCTAAATACAGTTCAGGTCAGAGTTATTAGCCCCCTATATTATTAGCCCCCCTGTTTATTTTTTCCCCATTTTCTGTTTAATGGAGAGAAGAATAATAACTCATTTCTGATAACTGATTTATTTCATCTTTGCCATGATGACAGTAAATACAGTAATATTTGACTAGATATTTTTCTGGACACTTCTAGACAGCTTAAAGTGACATTTAAAGGCTTAACTGGGTTAATTAGATTAACTAGGCAGGTTAGGGTAATTAGGCAAGTCATTAAATGATGATGGTTTGTTTTGTAGACTATCGAAAAAAAAAAATAAGTTGAAGGGGCTAATAATTTTGACCTTAAAAAGGATTTTCAAAAATAAAAATGACTTTTATTCCAGCCGAAATAAAACAAATAAGACTTTCTCCATTATTAGACATACTGTCAAAATTTCCTCGCTCTGGTAAACATCATTTGGGAAATATTTAAAAAAGTAAAAGAGATTCAAAGTGGGGCTAATAATTCAGCGGTATATACTTATTTCCGTTCCCTATGCCTCTTTTTGCTATGTACAGTATAGCTGTCTCGTTTGCCTACTGTCTTATTAATGTTTCCTATTCTCGTATGATCTTTAGATATCGATGAGTGTGCAGTTTTTCACTCTCAGCTCTGCAGGAATGGTCGGTGTGTCAATAATGTGGGCTCCTTCCAGTGTCTCTGTAGAGAAGGTTATGAACTCACTTTTGATGGCAAGACTTGTATGGGTGAATTGACTTTACATTATTCTCCATGGGTATTAAAAGGGTTATCATGTAGTAAATGCTGTGCTAGGCTTAACAATTGTAGTACATTTAATTTACTTTACCCTTTGAAAGTATCACAGGGGTTTGTGAGCTGATTTAGGCTATTATATAGTAGTTTACATATTAATTATAAGGTCAGACTTTATTTTGATGGTCCGTTTGTTGAATTTAAGTTGCAGTGCATCCAGATGCCAACTAATTCTTATTAGATTATCAGTAGATTGTCAGGTTGGGGTTAGGGTTAGGGTTAGTGTAAGTTGACATGTACTTGCAAAGTTTCTTATTGTCAGTTAAATGTCTGTTGAAGGAGCAGTATTAACAGATATTAAGCTGACAGCCTACTAATACTCAAATGGACCAGCAAAATAAAAAAGTGTTACCAATAATAATAATAATAATAATAATAATAATAATACAGTGCAGTCGAATTATACGAAAAATAAGAATAATACAGCGTATAACTAAAATAGACTGTATAATACATACAAAATTTGAAGATAAAAACACAATTACTGGTGCATGATCAGAGATAACAATACTTTGATAAGAACAGTTTTTTTTTTTTTTAATATGGAAGTCTAAATATGGTCTAAAAATAAATAATCAATGCGAGAATACATTTGATGAACATGAGAGAAGAATGAATACTTCTTTTCAGAAAGATGTAAGTGGCGGAATGCATCACACAAACCATTTTGTTTTTGCATAATATTTTGGATATTTATGGATGATCTATCAAGAGCGGGAGGCATAAGTCCCCAGCCATTACAAGTAGTTGTGAATGAATATTAGGAATAGAGAACAGAAAGGAGAAAATAAAAGTATTATATTAAAATATACTAAATAAAAGAGTCATTGTAATTGGGAGAATAAACATTTGTCAGGGTAAAAGGAGATGAGAAAAGTGTTATAATAATGTATCTTCCTTTATGATCAACAACAGTTTGAGAGGTGACAAATGGGACTGATTTATGCTCTTAAATTGCACATCCTCTTGATTTAGAATGAAATATTGAATGAAAAACCTGACCTTTTCAATTTTTTTTTAATCTAAAGGGGTCAGATGAACGAACCTGATAAAAACACAATTACAGAATTTGATTATGTAATTGATGTTACATATTATCTGTTACTTAGAAGATTAGATTGAAGTCTGACAAATGTTACAAATATTACAATGTATTTATTTTCTTTTTTATGTGTTTGAAGTAAAATAGCTGTAAAATGATACAACAAAATGAATATTTACACTATAATATGTACACTAATAGTTATACATGTTGTTAGACTGGAGTGCTTTGACCATATCATTATTGTCTTTTGTATAATGCAGATGTTAATGAGTGTACAATCATTCCTGGGATATGTGCTCCTGGAACTTGTCTGAATTTGGATGGTTCTTTCAGATGTGTCTGTCCTGATGGGTACATTGTCCAGAGTGATCACTGCGTAGGTAAGAGTGATGCTTAAGATGCCCAACAAGAGGTCACAGTACACAACAGAATGATTCAAACGTGAATAACATCTCAGTAAATGCATTATTTGTAGTTAAAATAGTGAATACACCTGTGTAAATTATACATAAAGCAATTGGCCAAATGCATGCTGTGGGGATTTTTATTAGAAGAACATGATATGAACTCCAGAACATTCTCAGTTTTGCATAGCTTGCTGGTTCTCTGAATGCAAAACAGGAGTGTTAGTGGACTGGCATGGGAAGCTGGTTTTCTGGCCCTCAGCTAGGCAATCACTGTTCCAACTTAGACAAACATTTTTCAGTATCTTCAGCAGTAATCAGGATGATAAACAAGCCAAATTATCACTAATCAGAGCTGCAGTAGTCCTCTTAAAATCAATGCAACGGAAAGTGCACTGCTTGCACCGTTAAATTGCAAGTGCTTCTGCTTCGGCACAGGGTTTAAGTAGCGAAAATTTGTGTTTCTGAGCATAAAACCAAAAGATTAAGCTTTGGTAAAAAAAAATTGTAAAAAAAAGGGCACATTCTTTCATTGAATGTCATACTTTTCTTTACTATATATCATACTATTATACATTTCTTTGATACATTTGTTAAGCTCAAAGGACTTCCAGCATGTTTGGTGTGAACACTTTAAAGTTACTATATATTAAGTTAATATTCAAATTATTTTTTACTCAGAAATAGTATGTATATACTATATATACAGTATACTCATAATTTATTAGTAATGATTGTAACACAAAACATAAACTACACTTTAATATAACTCATCAAGCATATAATAAACTTTCATAGGCATATACTTGAAAGAAAACTACGTATACTATAAGATTGGCACATACTGTATATATACACTACTTGATCTGCAATTAGAATATACCTACCAAAAAATTAGTTCTTCCAAACTAAGATTAGTTAGCAAAGTTAGCTAATCGTTAACACATTTGATGTAGGTACAGGGGCAGATTTAACCAATAAGCAAGATAAGCAGCCACTTAGGGGCCACAGGAAATCTGAGGGCCCCCAAATTAAAACCTAGAAATATAAATTATACCTATAAATTATATATAACATCATTTTCTGTCATATTTTGTATAATGAGTGTCTAAAAAAATTAAAAGTTTGATGTTTATTACATCTGCGCAAATGTATCCCCCTCCCTCAATCATGGAGAAGTCTAGCAGTCAAATATTCATTCATTCATTTTCTTGTTGGCTTAGTCCTTTTATTAATCCGGGGTCGCCACAGCGGAATGAATCGCCAACTTATCCAGCACGTTTTTACGCAGCGGATGCTCTTCCAGCCGCAACCCATCTCTGGGAAACATCCACACACACTCATTCACACAGACACTCATACACTACAGACAATTTAGCCAACCCAATTCACCTGTACCACATGTCTTTGGACTGTGAGGGAAACCGGTGCACCCGGAGGAAACCCATGCAAATGCAGGGAGAACATGCAAACTTCACATGTTTGTTGAGTCCAGCTGTAACCATAGCGCAGGCGAGACTGCACTTCAGTTATGAGTCCATTCAGCATGTATCCGCCTGTCCCAGCTTCTGTTACTACATGTAAAAGTCAATCAATGATGGGGACTGTTTGAATTTTATTTTTTGTTTTACTTGGTTAGCCTACCGAAATAAGGGACTGTCGTGGGAAAAATTAAGACATCTGATCACCCGTATGAATGACTAAAAGGGGCTATTTATTATTCTGAGCCCCAGTTTAGCACCAGCATCAATGTTTTTGAACAGCAGCAGCGAACCTAAGGGAATACTTCACATTATGACGAGAGAAAGCATATTGCAAAAAGGCGTTTTCATCGTCATAACGCAAATTAATTATTCAGTCAATCAACAGCCCCATTCTTCCGTGGGCCCTGGGGCTTCAGCCTCACCTAGCCCTATGTTAATCCAGCCCTGCTAATAGTTCTCTTGAATAAACTTATTTTTCCAAAAATTAAATAAATTAAACTAAAGCACAAAAGTAGACTGAAAGTATACTTTCTTAGTTTTAGTTTAAAAGAAGAACACTACTGCAATAGTATACACTGTTTTCGTAAGGAGAGCCCTTGCTTTATTATTAAATGTAAATTTCAAAATTTGATTAAAAGAGTGTTGAATTTATTTTAAAAGAATACATCTTCATGCCATTTAGATTTTGTATGAATTTGAATAAGTTTGAGCTACAAATTGAAAAAACACTGTAAAATAAGGTAAGAAAAAGCATAAAAAAACTTATTTGAGAACAGGTCAAGATTCACTTTAAAACTTGGCATCCTTTCTATCTTTAAAATAGCTTGTTTTCTGGTTGACCAGCAAAACTGATCTGAATGATTCTTCCATCATCACCTTTTTTGGTTTTGATTTGAGGGGACAGAAATGTCTGTGAATTTAATATACAGTGAATTGAAATCTGTTCTTGAATACTTGAAAATACAATATGCTGAATATAGTGCACAATTCATATGCATTGTGACTCTTCGTTATCTTTTTGTGCAGTTTAGAAGAACATAAAAGTATGATTACAGGAGCTTATTGAAATGAAGTATGGGTATGTACACATATGTGTGTTTCAGATGTAAACGAGTGTTCGGAGGAGCCTGGGATCTGCACATATGGGACCTGCTTCAACAGTCTGGGCAGCTTTGAGTGTGTGTGTAAACCAGGATTTGTGCTGTCAGAAGATAAGCGCAGATGTTATGGTAATTCATCACATTCATCCCACACTCTTACTACATTTAAACGGGAAAATATGTCTGGGACCTAAAATTAGTAGTAATAAAGGGAACACTTTACTTGAAGTGGGTGTTCGTAAGATATTTTACGACACATGATACTTTCATCATGCTTTTGACAATTGTCATGAAGTGTGATTTGCTCAGTTATGTGGCATTGTTTGAGATGTCTTTGTTATGAAAATTCAACATAACTTGACATTATTAAGACAACAAAACTTATCACCAATCTATCCTAAACATGATTGTCATGAGGCAATTGTAATTATAAAATATATCCTATTATATAGGATAGTTGGCCTATTATATTATATTATATATATATATATAATAAAAAATTTACACAACACGATTTTAATGGCTTTGTGACAATGATGTTTATGCCAGATTTATGACAAGTTATGGTGTATTGGTAATATCAGATTGACATGGCAAAGACAAATATAGGCTATGATGTATTTGGTTATGTCAAGTTGTCATAACAAAGACATCTCGAACAATGTCACCTTTACATTTAAAAGGACATAACTGATCGGATGATACTTTATGACAGTTGTCATAAGCATGCATATAATCTTCATATTCATATGCCCTTTAAGTAATGAAATATGTCCCCACGTAACAATATGTCTGCTGTTTGTTGTGTTATAGACACCAGAGAGAGCTTCTGTTTCACACGCTTTGAGAACAGCAAGTGCTCTGTCCCGCAGGCGTTTAACACCACCAAAGCCAAGTGCTGCTGTAGTATCATGGCAAAGGAGGGCTGGGGCGACCCGTGTGAGCTGTGCCCTAAAGAACATGATGGTACCAGAGATCTCCATGACCATCAAATATACCACCACAACACCAAACCTAAAATCATAGTCACAGTCTCTTATTTTGTGTTTTCAGCAGCATTTCAGGATCTGTGCCCATTTGGTCATGGGATCATTCCTGGTGTTGGGGACACACGTGTAGGTAAAGGCAATACTGTGGACAACACTTTTAGGTTCTATTAAACATATTCAGGTTAGATGCCATATTTAATTCATCATTATTTTATTGAATTAACAGAATTTACATGAGTGAACTTACAGTTTACAGAGACGTTGACTAAAGGTCCTACACTGTAAAAAAATATCTGTTGTTTGTATTTTGTGATTGTTTTTAGATTGTTTTTATTTCTTTTAATTTTTTTATGTTTTGAATTCCATTGTGGGACCTTGATTTTTTTTTCAACAACTTTTACCCTTGAAAAAGTGACTTTTAAAAACAAGAAGTGATTTATTGTTTTGGTTGGTGTTGTAATTAAGTGACTTATTTTTCTATTATTTCTTATACATTATATTATTTTAAACTACTAAAATGTCAATTAAAGTCACTTTGTTAAAATGTTTTTTTAACATCAACAGTTGATAGAGCAGAGATCAAGATCCTGCAATGCAAATATAACAACTGTAAATAAATAGAAAACCCTGTTAATTACTGGTAATTAAAAAAATTTTTTTGGTAACATTTGGTAATTCTGAATCATTTATTAGGAATGAGCAAATGGTAATTCATTATATGTTAAGTATTAACTAAATTAACAGACATTAGTAAGCAGTTAATAAATACAGAAATGCTGTATTCTTATAAGACTAGTATATGTCTTCTTATTAATATTGTTTGTTTAAAATCTAAATGTAATAAAAGCACATCAGCACCAAGGAAAAATCATATTTCATAAAATTATGACATATCAAAAAAATAGCAAATATATGACAGAGGATTGTGGTAGTGAAGCATTAATTAAATCCCTAATTTCCATTGACCAAACAATCATCCACCTGTACAGTTGTGGATGGTCTCAAACAAAAATATAATTCGTATTAATAAAATTTTATAATTCGTAATATTTCTTAGAACCGGTTTCCCCCACAGTCCAAAGACATGCTGCAGGTGAATTGGGTGGGCTAAATTGTCTGTAGTGTATGAGGGTGACAAGCCCATTAGACAGGCCGGCCGGAATGTGTAAAAAAAAGTCTAAAATGGCTTGTTCCAAAGAGCCGACCCCACAATCATACGGGACTAAGGCCAAAGAATAAGAAGAATATTTCTTCGAAAAAAATTCTTTTTAAAACAAATTTCAGATAGTTTGCCTCTTAGTTTTATTATATATTTTTGTTAGTCAGTTATCTACTAGATAAAATAGAAGAACAAATAACATTTGTGGTAAAGTGCATCAAAACAAATCCGCTATATGCTTCAGCGCAAAACACCAACTGGTTTGTCAAATAAAATAATAATCTATCGTAAATGAAATTAAAACAGTTTAGAACACCTTGAATGGTAGCGGTTCCATGCGAGGAGGCTGCGCAGCAGGCAGATCTGAATTCTCTGATGAAACAGACACGGGCTGAGCCTGGAGTTCCCCCGGCTCTGATGCTGATGATACTGCAGTTTCCACCTCATGTGGGATAAATATTTGTAAATGTTTCAATAAAGTTTAGCTGTTTTAAAGAGCATTTACTCATTTTTAACCTTGTTTTAAACAATAGCTATCTGAATTGTAAGTTTTAGTGAGCGAAAAAAACGCCAGCAAAACTAAAGCCAATAGATTTTTTTACCCATCTCCTACCATGCAAATACATGCACACTTTAAAACACACAAACGCTAATCAGACCCCTTTTGTCACTTATGCAACAACTCTACACAAGATACTTATATACATATGTTCTGGGGATGTCCCCAAATTGCACTATTCTGGACCAAGGTACGAGACTTTTTATCAGAACTAATGGAAACTCAGATCCAATGCGACCCATTGTTTTTTCTTATGCTGGACGATTCATCCCTCTCCTTATCCATCAACCAAAAAAGGACTCTGTCAGGGACTGACAAAAAAAGGACTTTTTTTACTGCAAAAGAAACAATCCTGAAACTATGGCTGGATCCATCTGCTCCAACCGTTCTATCCTGGAGGCTCTTATTTATTGGACATTATTAGTCTGGAATACACCACTGCCAAAATAAATGGAGCCTGTAAAAAAACTGTACAATTTTGGTCAAATATGAGAGAGACTGTATCATTTATGTTCAATCCTGATTTTGTACTTATTAGTACAGTATTACTGTTTTTATTTTATTTGACATATTTTGTTGGGTGGATCTCGGGCTTTGTTCAAAATCAAAATGTTCAATAAAAAAAGAAAAGAAAAAAAAACACACAAACGCACACCTTTATTTATTCTTATTATTTTTTATGCTTTGCCAATATATCGTAGTGTATACTGTTTAATAATCAATTTAAATTATGTAATAAATAAATAAATAAATAAATAAATAAAAAAGTTGCATTAATTCGCGCCCTCTTATGGTAGGTACGCGCAGTGTGTATAACCGTACGGCTGCTGGTGCCACTGGGTTAAATTCAGTAAACACACTGTGGACAACATACTGCTTGAATATCAATGTCACTTAAACTAAATCTTTCATTTAAAAAACAAACATTTCTCTAAATTATTCTGAAAAAAAAAAGATCCATTTTCTATTAAATACAAATCTGATCTATTTTAATGGTTGTAACAATATAAACTGTTTGGCAGGGAAAAAAACGGGCTTCGGATCGGCTCGGGACAAACATTTTGATGAGCTGTTGGACAAAGGCTGGGCTACAGCCTGTGCATCTCGGGCCAGGGCCAGGCTTTAGGGCTTAGATTTAAGGCCCGTGCAGGGCTCTAGTTCAGACTTAAAACAAGATGAAGGACCGTGTAACTGCCAGCACCATTAGGATTAGCAGGCGAGCGCAGAAAATCTATTAAAAATACTAGGGTAAACTATCTTTTTTCGTATTTTAAATACTTAGTCCTCAAATTGGAGCTGTACAGATTTAGCATGCAGAAATGTCACACGCTGTATCACTGTTTTTCAGATTTAAACGAGTGTGTGGAGAATCCAGAGATCTGTGTAAACGGACGCTGCATCAACATGGATGGTTCCTTTCGCTGTGAGTGTCCAGCAGGGTACACTCTTGACTACACAGGAACACATTGTGATGGTAAGAATACAAACAAAAAGAAAAGTTCAAAAAAACCTATTTGTAACTTCAAAAGTACTTTTGTTTGGATGTACTGTATACAAAATATTTTGTTCAAGAACTTTTTAAAAATTATTTACTCAGACTCAAGTTGTATCAGTCTAAAAAAAAGATACTTAAACGTTGGCTGTAACAAACATAGATATTACCAAAACAGCAATAGTGACCTTACAGCGTTTGTCTGTGTTGCATTGTCTGAAATGGCATTACTTTTCACAAAATTTTAACAAGTTCCAGCATGAAAGAGTGTAAGATGAGGCACAAGTTCCTGAAAATATAATGTTTAACTATTTTTTGATAATAATTCAAAATGACCAACATATTAATCAACTAGTTTAACTATTTAATTTTTTTATGGTATTTGTATGTGCTTTATGTAATTTATAATTTAATGTGATGAGATAAGAAATAATAATGGAGCCATTTAGGGTATATTTGTTGTGTGGATATTCATGGATAATCACAAAAACGTGGTTAAAAACAACATTCATACTATCTTCTTTTATCTTCCACAGATGAAAAATATCACCATAGTAGTGAATACATATATGTTTATATATCAACATGACTGACACGTTGTGACTGGCAGTGGTTTAAGCATTGTTAGTGTAGAGTGTCATGCAAAAATACATACATATATACAGTTAAAGTCAGAATTATTAGCCCCCCTTTGAATTTTATTTCTCTTTTTTAAATATTTCATAAATGATGTTTAACAGAGCAAGGAAATTTTCACAGTATGTTTGATAATATTTTTTTCTTCTTGAGAAAGTTTTTGTTTTATTTTGGCTGGAATAAAAGCAGTTTTAAATTTTTTAAACACCATTTTAAGGTGAAAGTTATTAGCCCCTTTAAGCTATATATTTTTCGATAGCCTATAGAACAAACAATTGGTATGCAAAAACTTGCCTAATTACCTTAACTTGCCTAGTTAACTTAATTAAACTTGTTAAGCCTATAAATGTCACTTTAAGCTGTATATAATTGTCTAAAAAAAAAACTAGTCAAATATTATTTACTGTCTTCATGTAAAAGATAAAATAAATCAGTTTTAGGAATGAGTTTTTCTGAGAATGGGGGGGGGGATTGGGGGGGCTAAAAATTCTAACCTCAACTGTTCTATCTGACATTTTTTCAAAATTGAGTTATTCACATATTCTTATTAAATGACAACTTATTTAAATTAAGTTTTTGTATAAGTTGTTTACATTTTAGGACTTTTTATTTTAAAAAACACAAAAGGTTTTATCGACAAAGTCAAACTCTAACTTGGCTGTTAAAGGTTTTTTCACCAAAAGTTCAGAGTTGACTAAATGCCGCACCACGCAAAATTGAGAAAAAACCTGAAACTGAAAAGGTGTGTGCAAATGTGAAGTTTTACAAGCTTTTTTTGACATCAAGATGAAATGTTCATTTAGTTATTTAAAAAATGTATATAATAAATGTGAAATATTTTTAATTGTGTATATATATATTTAGGGAAACATTTTTTAGTGTTTATTAAACTCATTTGCTCTTTATTTGTTTTCTTTGAAAGTCTTCAAATTTGATATTAATCAATTATTGGTCACTAATTACAAAGAATTAATTAATAATTAATTAATAACCACAAATACTGTACTTAATTTAATTCATGGGACATTTCAATAAAGTTAGTTCGATAAATTTAACCCAATAATTAATTTAAATCATATCATTCAATAAATATTACCATATTAATTACATAAAAATAACATGTGCACTGGATAAAATGTTTAGCAAAGCCTTGTATGATAAATGTTATAGAAAGCAAAAAATTAACTTTCTCAAGCATATAACATATTGTTACAACACCAGTTTATATTTTTGTGATTGTATTTCTTTAAAACTAATACTTCAATGAATGATAGAACCTTATAACTTCAAGCGGAAATTTACTTAATATACCTTCCTTTATAATTGGAAGGTTCTATCTGCATTTGCCCTGCATTTTACCCCAATTTGCAAATATAAGAGAATTTTTCTAATTTACCTTTAGAGTACATAGTGCCTCTGTCATGTTAATGTATGAAAGAGAAGTGTTACAAATACTTTGAAGCTCAATATCTCAAAATCATTTAGAACGCAGATAGAACCTTATAATTCCAAGGTGACGAGGTGTGTGTGTGTGTGTGTGTGCGTGCGTGCGTGTGTGTGTGTGCGTGTGTGTGTGCGTCACGTGTGTATACGGTATATATACACTATAGTATTGGTAGGTACTGCCTGCATCATGCCACTTCTTATTTGCATAATGCTGAAATTCTGCTCTCCAGAAATCAGCAACTACTATATTTATATACTTATTTGTAACCGAATGACTCACTTTTTGTGTGCAAATGACTGACAGTATTTAGATCTCTTCATAGTGCTCAGGAGCTTGTTTCTCCACTGATATAAGCCTGACATTTTATTAGCCCATTGAGCCATTGTGTTTTGACAAGTCACCTTTATTTTGTATATACTGTAGTAGGGCTTTATATAATGTACATTGTATCTAAGTCGCTTTACAAGGATGAACAGTCAGATAATAAAAGTCAGATAACAGAAATTCATTATTGTGGCACGTATTCGATACAAGCAGTTAGCAGAATAGCGTTAGGAAGTGCTAATTATTTCACAACTGATTTAGTGACTGTTGAAGGACGATCTTTTGTTCAGCCAGTTTTTTGATCTCTCTGTTTTTACAGATATCGATGAATGTTCAGTGAGAAACCCATGTGGAAACGGCACGTGCTCCAATGTAATCGGGGCATTTGAGTGTTTGTGTGAAGAAGGATTTGAGCCTGGACCGATGATGAGCTGTGAAGGTCAACTGACAAAAACATCTGATGCGACTGCTTTATTTAAAAACCTTCAGATGCACTAAAAAAAGCTTGTGTGTGACATTGTTTTTCAGAACAAAACAAAACATAAGATATTTTAGATGAAACCCCAGTGCTTATGTAGACAGCAATGGGGTTACACTTTAGTTTAGGTCACAATTCATGCCATTAACAACACTGAATTTACAAAGAAAAAAATTAACACAGACAGATGTGGAAATGTACCCCCGTATACATTTCTGGAGAGTGCGAATTATGTAGCCAGAGCTAATTATGGCTCTATTTTGTCTTTAAAACAAACACTACTGGATGGTACGATGCTGCCGATGGCTTCAGTTTCTTTTTGCGCGACCAGCTGACCGCTTACCTCCATGTGGACAGCTTTTAAGCTGTTACCAGATTTGCCCAGTAGCTCGACATATACAGTTAAAGTCAGAATTATTAGCCCACCGTTTATTTTTTTTTTCTGTTTACAGAGAGATTTTTTTAACACATTTCCAAACATAATAGTTTTAATAACTCATTTCTAATAACTGATTTATTTTATCTTTGCCATGACAATACATGATATTTTACTAGATGCTTTTCAAGACACTTCTATACAGCTTAAAGTGACATTTATAGGCTTAACTAGGTTAATTAGGTTAACTAGGCAGGTTAGGGTAATTAGGCAAGTTATTATATAACGATGGTTTGTTCTGTAGACTATTGTAAAAATATATAGCTTAAGGGGCTAATAATTTAGACCTTAAAATGGTTTATAAAAAATTTAAAAAACTGCTTTTATTCTACCCAAAATAAAACAAATAAGACTTTCTCCAGAAGAAAAAAAAATGATTAGACATACTTTTCTTTGACATTTCTTTGCTCTGTTAAGCATCATTTGGGAAATATTTTAAAAAGAAAAATAAATTCAAAGGGGGGCTAATCATTCTGACTTCAACTGATTGTTGGCGGACTTGAGGGGCAAAAAGGAGTTGACTGTGACGACAGGGTTCGAGTCCAGTGAAGAACAGTTCCAGAAAGCAGGTAAAACAAAAAAAGACAAAAACTTAAATAAAAACATGTAAAAAAACAGCGAGAACGTGATTACATCTGAAAACGTGGTAAGATTAGGCGGCTGAGAGGACTTTTGAAAACTTTTGAGGGACTTTTTTCTGGATTTCTTTTGAAAACACTATCGGTTGGGTTTAGGGAGGGAGTGTGTGGGGTTATCGGTCAGTCAGTCAGTGTCAGTTGGTCGACAGCGGCCTTTGGTGGATTTAAGTAAGAAGAGCAAATGCGAATGGCATTCGTGAGAGAAACTTGAGGTCCAAAAAAGCGTACACAGCAGCCTCTGGTGGACTCGCGAAAACAAAAAAAACTGCAAAAAAGACGTACCTCTTAAGATGTATTTCACGCTGTCCAGAATTTTATACAGGGGTACGTATCAGTAATAAGCCTGGGTTTAATTTTTTTTTTTTTGAAGGTAAGTGGTTGCAAACAATTTATTTGGGCTGAATTTAAACAAATTAAATTTAGTAATTTTCAACTGAATTTGTTTGTTTAAATTCAGCCCATAAAAATTGTTTGCAACCACTTAGCTTACAAAATGTAAATTCAGTGAATCATTAATTCAGTTAACTGGCTTATTACTTGGCTATTATTAAGATAATAACTGTTCATTAGTAGTTATAAAGTATGATCTTATTCTGCATCCCTAATCCTACCAAAAATCCTAAACCCAACTTCTACATTACTACCTATTTAACAGCTAATTAGTAGTTTATTAAGCTAGTAGTGTTAGTTTAATGGCTTGTTACTACAGTGAATTGTAATCTAAACTTAAGTGATACCCAGCAAAGGTCCCAAGATGTAAAAAATCCAGAAAAGAAACCAAAAATGTAATGCAATGTAATGTGTATTTATTTATTTATTTATTTTTTAAATATTGTCAAACTGTCAGTCATTCAACTTTTTGTGGCAAAAACTAAATTTATTTTTGCCATTGTCTTCCACATCAGGTCAGGGTCTGTGTTTACTACGGGCAATATGACTCTTGTGTTGCACTGCTGACTCTAATGGCAAATACGTGGTATTGGTCGTAGTATACGTGTACCCTGACCTGACGTGGAATAGAAAACATTGATTTTGTCACACAAATATGTTCTTGCAAAACTGCATTATCACGGAAGTCACATGGAATGTTTTGAGAATATATTTGTTTCCTAATTTCATCTAAATATCTTAATTTGTGTTCTAAAGATGAACAAATGTCTCAGGGGATTGAAACAACATTAGAGTACTTGCTAACAAAATGTTTATATTTGGGTGAACTAACCCTTTCAGTATCAATATTTTCTGTTGAAAGCCTCTATGAAATAAATATAATTTAAATGTAGCAAACAAATAAACGATTCAAAGTAAGTCAATTTATAATTATTGCACATGATAGCTGATTTTTATCTGTCATTTATCTGTCTGATTTAGCACCATTCCAACTCTATCTTTGACTGACTGTGTATTATTTTTGATCGTCCAGATGTGAACGAATGTGGTCAGAATCCTCTGCTCTGTGCATTTCGCTGCATCAACACTTTCGGGAGTTATGAATGCAGCTGTCCATCTGGTTACACACTGAGAGAGGATGGACGCATGTGTCAAGGTATGAAATATCATTAATAATCAATGATTTTAACAATATAACTTTTCTAAACTTACACAGATCACAGTATAGGTAAATGTAGGTTTTAATAGAATTGTTGTCCACAGGGCTCTTTAAGGTTTTAAATTGCAGAAACAAAAAAAGTTTAAGGCCTTTAAAAGTCTTAAATGCACTTAGATATTGTGTTGTAGGTCTTAAATCAAGACTTAATTTTCCTATCTCTGGGTAAAGCTACCAAATTGAGCCAACACCCCTCCAGTTGCCAACAATCCATCTCAGTAGATTTTTTAACAAAAGTTACAATTTTAACCAATATAGTTCATCTTCCTCGCAATGACATTAGAATAAAATAATGTATTTATAGCTACCTGGTGGGGACACTGACCTGGACAAACTGTTGTACATCCATTTAGTTTATTATAGTTTTTTTAAAGATTTTTTTAAAGAAACATTATGTATAGGCAGGCCCGGATTAAGAATTCAAAGGCCCCTGGGTACAATGTCTTGTAGGCTCCTACCCGGCCGCACCCCTAAAGTTGAATAAAAAAATAAGATTAATATAATAGTTTTTAAATAATATTAACCTATAATGAATTGCTTGCATTTTTTAAATAAATGATATACAGTACATGCATTTCAAGTCTACAAAGATTTAACTTTGAAAAAAAAAATGCTAATAAAACTAGTAAAAATTAATGGATTTAAATATACTTATTTAAGTTCACCGAAGCAGTACTAAAATATATTTATTAAAGGTTATTTTTAATGTATAACTTCCACAAACTTATAATGCATGATTTGGATGTAACACTTCTCCAATCTAGTTCTATGAATCTGAGTCTTCCATAATACACACTTATTAATGATTCCTACTTGTCTTCCTCGTGATGAAGAGAAGGCAAAATCTGATGTGTTGTGAGGAAAAAAGAACAACGTGTTCATCAGACGCTGAATTTGAACCAGGTTTATGATTGAGTCGCGTCTGTCTCTGTCAATCAAACAGTGGTGGTCGTGAATCACTTAACTAGCTTATACGCTATTTTCACTTAGCCTAAATAGACTCTCTAAAATCAACCATACCCCACACCAAAGTGCCCCCAAGTGCTCACGGCCTGTGCCCATAATGCCGGCCATGTGTAGAACATATAGCAACACATTATTTAAAATGAATGAATTACCTTTTTAAATGGGCTACTAGAAAATCTTTAGTGTTTAGCCTCATATGAGTCTGAAATTTCATTCATAAAAGTTTAAATCTGACTTCATGAAACCTACTGAAACTATGGGATCTCCTTTATGTACAGATGTGGACGAGTGTGCAGAAGATCTTCATAACTGTGACTCCAGAGGAATGGAATGTAGCAACCTAATTGGCACATTTATGTGTGTTTGTCCGGCCGGTATGATCCGCAGGATGAGTGATGAGGCCTGTCAAGGTAAAATTTATTTTTTTAACTGATACTAATAGAGAAAAGATACTAATAGAGAAATACTGGTAACACTTTAAAATATTTGTCCATTAGTTCATGTTAGTTGTTGTATTTATGAACGTGAACTACTGTAAGTATGAACAATTTTCTTTGATTCATTTTTCTTAGGCTTAGTCCCTTATTTATCAGGGGTCGCCAAAGCGAAAATAAATAAAAAATCAGTTTATTGACAGCTGTATCTGTGTGGTGAACTCAGTAAACTTTGTGAACAAGGCGCAAAAAGCAACAAAAAAAAACAAGTCTAATTTCATGCACACAATCATATGTTTACCAAATTGCATTTTTCTTTATCTGAAAAAGTGAAAGAAATGGAGAACAACCACAAACTTGTCTTGAACACAAAGAGCATTTGTTTTTAATACACAGAATTCAACAAATACACAGTTTAAAATCAGTTTGAGTACGTTATGAATTCAGACATGCAAATCCTAATCATACACACTGCAGATGGGTGGACACTAATGAAATTGTGAAATCCTATTTTAATGCATTAGTGTGTGACTGATTTTAGCACAGTACATGGCAATGAAATGGTTCAGTGTTCTGGCCTGAGTGACCTCTGAATGGAAGTTTTATGGAGAAGGTACAGTGGTGCAAAAAAGTATTGTGTCTCCAATTGTGTAAGTTCTTCCACTTAAAAAGATGAGAGAGGCCTGTAATTTTCATCAAATGCATACCTCTATTAGAGACAAAATCACATTGTGGGATTTTTAATGAATTTATTTGCAATTTGGTCAATAACAAATTTTCATCTCAATACTTTGTTGGCATTAACAGAGGTCAGACATTTTTTGTGAGTCTTCACAAGATTTTCACACACTCTTGCTGATATTTTGGCCCATTCCTCTATGCAGATTGGGCAACAGGCTTTCAACTCCCTCCAAAGATTTTCTAAGGGGTTGAGATCTGGAGACTAGGCCACTCCAGGACCTTGAAATGCTTCTTACGAAGCCACTACTTCGTTGCCCAGGTGTTGTGTTTGGTATCATTAGCCGCATTTCCACTGTCAGGCCAGTGCAAGCCAGGGGTTTTATCGGGCCAGGCTGGGCCAATCACCCGGGAGGTCGAGCAGTGAGGCCGAAATCATGTCGCGTTTCCACTTTTGGGCTAGTATCTCGCAGCGCGTCATGCAAACCCCGTCCCCAGACCATCCCCCAAATCAAAAGTCACACAACCCGCCCACTTCAGTGGGAATCAGGCAGGCAGATAAAACACACAATCGCATCATCACGAAATTATTAAAATGACGTTATATGTCTATACGGACAGGCCTGTGTATTTTAATTCATTATATTTGTTTACTCGCCGACTGACTGTTGGCATTGTGCATCAAGTGGTCTCGCCAATAACAGAGGGATGACCCAGCAGCAAACTACCCATAATATAAAAACCACAGAAATTCTCCTGTAATAACTCTGTATAAAATGTAGTTTATAACCTTCTCGTTTTAGAGACCTAAAACATATAATTTTTTTCCTAGGCTATATGACACTTAATAGGTAATTCCCCTTTATTAATTATTTACCAGAATAATTTAAGGTTGTTGCATATTCAGTTATCTTAAGTATAGGAAAGTGTTGTTTTAGGACATAAGAGCAAGTAATGAAATATAGCCTATTTTGTTGCGCTCAGCAGCTATATATCCACTAATAAAGGTCTACATTTACAATATCACTTCCTAGAGATGGGTTGCGGCTGCAAGGGCATCTGCTGCGTAAAAACATGCTGGATAAGTTGGTGGTTCATTCCGCTGTGGCGAATCCCGGATTAATAAAGGGACTAAGCCGACAAGAAAATGAATAAATGAATGAATTTACAATTTCATTTTTAAATTTTCCACGTCACATAAAACATAAACATTTATTTTAGGACATTTTTTACGTACAGTTTTCCCCAATGCGTTTATAAAGCAGCACTGCGCAGGACTGGATGAAACGAAGGTAGTTTCTGGTTTCACTCACCCAAAAAATGCTCTGTTTGCACGATTTGATTAATATTAACGTATCCAAATACTTTATAAAAAATATTTCAAAACTCCTTTGTTGTTTGTTGTTGTTTTTTTCAGATAAGCCTTTGTAAAATGAAAGTTTAATGGCTTGATGCGGTTTAATTTATGTATACAAAAATTGTTATAGCTTTTGTTTGTTTTAAATAGTTTTTTTAGTTTAATGTGATTTTATTATATACAATATTTGTAATTCTTTAAATGATTTCTATATAGCTTAGGCTATTTTATTTAGATATGACACTATTGTTTTGAGCCTGCAAAAGTGTTTTTTATGGAATAGCCTATCTTAAACTGACCAGCTATATGTTTTTCTTTCCCTTATTTATTTATTTATTTATTTGTTTGTTTGTTTGTTTGTTTGTTTGTTTGTATGTTTGCTTGTTTATTTGTTTTTTTTACTTACTTAACAGTTGCATTAGTAAGCAAATAATTAGTCATGATAACAAAGTTCCACACAATAAACACAGAACACAATTACTGTGTACAGTATATGCTAAACGATTAGGGGTCTAAAGAGCATTACTTTACAGTGTTATTAGGAATGTAATTAGTTTTTGGGGCATAGAAATGGCAGGGTTAACGAACTAGACTTGGTTCACAGTAGACTGGAAAAGAACATCTCTTTTAATGGTCTACGTGTTTTGTGTAAATCTTTTTCTCCTTACAGATGAAAATGAATGCTTGACTCAGCCTGGTGTTTGTGAAAATGGCCGTTGTGTGAACACTGTTGGCAGCTACACTTGTGAATGTGGTGTTGGGTTCAAAACGGACTCGTCAGCCACACAATGTCTTGGTAAAACTCTTGAGTTTTTTTTTCTCTCTAAATGTAATTGCAGTGCTCGAATTGAAGGCATGCAAATGAATAATATATCCCTTGTTGGAAAAAAAAACATTAACTGTATCTCTTTTGTAAAACTATTATCTAATAATCCCTTTTAGAGCTATGAGACTGTTGCAAATTAAATATTACAACTGTCTACCTAACTGTTAAAATCTTTTAAATTACTTCAGTAGTTCATTCATGTATTACACATGATGATTTAATGATGGTATATTTTTAGCCTCAGTTGATGCAACAAACATTAATACAACATAAGAACAAATGATCTCCGGCCTCCAACTTTCAGTTTAACCATCAGCCCACTCAAGATTTCATCAGTAGTTTGTAATGTTTTGCACTTTTCAAAATTTAGTTTGAGTTTTAAAAGGAAAGAGATTGTAACCTTTTAGTTATTTTTAATAGGAAGTTTATGTTTTATATTTTGTACATACAGTATTGTACCTGTATATATTATGTACTGTGAATATTATATGCAGTATGTATTACATGTGATTACGAAGTACTAAGAGATTTATAAGTTTGAAATTACCTACCATCTTTACATAAGCTTTGGAGAGCTAAAATAAATGTGGGTCAAAATAATATTATATTTTTTTACATTAAGGTATATACATTTTTATTCCTCTCAGCAAGATATGATGAGGAATGAAAGTTTGAGAAACTTAACTTAAAGAAACTTAGTTTATATTGTTTTGACATTATTTTGGTTCAACGCATTTTATTGTGCTGGTTTGAAGTTCTTTTAATAATGCTTATTACCCAGCTGTCTTCCTTAAATTTATTTCTGACCTTGTGTAAAGACTTTCCACTGAACCTCTCAATCCTTTTGAACTTGAAAAGTTTTCATTAAAGTTAATGGTATGTACTAAAATGAACAAACAATAAAAAATACATTTATTACAGTATTTATTAATTTTTAACATGTTTTATACATAATGTTAACATTAGTAAATGAATACAAAGTTGTCCATTGTTAGTTTTTTATGGAGCCAGATAATACATAATAATAAATTATACATTTACAAAATAATATTCATACATGCAAAGCACAATTCACATCTACAAAATCCAATTTATAAATTCAAAAACAATTCCTAAATACAATACAGAGTTTGGGAATTCACAAGTAAAAATCATAAATATTTTCATCGAATTATTTAGATTTGTGTATTTTTGAAAGGCATTTTTAATTTACGAGTTAGACTTATGTATTACCAAAGAGCTTAGACTGACCAAGAGGCCACACTTAATAGAACGTTCCATTGCAACAGCAGCATCCAGCAACAGCTGTTCATTGGATCTTTTTGCAGTCACATTGCAGTCTTTAATGAACCTAAAAGAGAACATGTCACTCCGCTGCTCATCCGTTTGCACTGGCTGCCAGTTGCTGCTTGCATCAAATTCAAAGCTCTGATGTTTGCTTACAAAGCGACTTCTGGCTTTGCTCCTTCTTATCTGCTCTCACTTCTGCAGATTTATGTGCCTTCCAGAAACTTGTGTTCTGTGAATGAACGTCGCCTCGTGGTTCCATCCCAAAGAGGGAAGAAATCACTTTCTCGAACTCTCGCATTCAATCTGCCCAGTTGGTGGAATGAATTCCCTAACTGCATCAGAACGGCAGAGTCACTTGCTGTCTTTAAGAAACGACTAAAAACTCAACTATTTAGTCTCCACTTTCCTTCCTAATCTGCAATTGCCATTCTGGCTCCACCGCAAACTGTATTACAGAAAAAAAAAAATTCCTAATGTTTTGCTTCTTACACTTTACATACCTGAAACTTGCCTACAGCACTTATTCATTGTTGCTCTTATAGTTGTGTAAATTGCTTCCTTGTCCTCATTTGTAAGTCTCTTTGGATAAAAGCGTCTGCTAAATGACTAAATGTAAATGTGTATTGTGTTGCAGATGTATGAATTTTATTTTATAAATGTATTAATTTTGAGACTGATTTGGCTCCACAGTTTTTGCTAACTCACTATGCAGCTATTAATAACTAATGTTTAAAAGCACAACTTTGTATTATAATACCGCATTAGTAAATGCTGAACTATGATAAATACTGCATAAATGCTATAAATCCTGTAATCCTGTTAATAATGACATGAACGAAATTCAAACCTAAAAACTTAACATTATGCCTATATAATTTTTGCCCCTTGTTCCGTACTCAAAGGGAGTGTGGGATATGTTACTCACCACTGTTTGGTGCACTATATGTGAATATTTGTACAATACAAGTCTCTGTTATGATGTAAATTAATTTGTGCTGATGTCTGGTTCTCAGATTACAGGAAAGGCTTCTGTTTCACTGAAGTTCTGCACACCATGTGTCAGATGTCGTCCAGCAGTCGTGTTCCTGTCAGCAGGTCTCAGTGCTGCTGTAATGGAGGTCATGGGTGGGGGGATCAGTGTGAGCTCTGCCCTCTGCCTGCCACTGCCAACTACAAAAAACTCTGTCCATATGGTCATGGATACGCCATAGACGGAACAGGTCAGTCAGTACGGTCACCTTATGAAAGGCATAGTTCCACTAAAAAAAAATAATAATTCCTCATATTTATTCTCACATGTTTTTTTATGGGTTTTTTGTCTTCTGTTGAATACAAAAGACAAAATGTTGGTTGCTAGACCCATCGACTACCATAATAGGAAGAAAAATACTATGAATGGAAAAATACAATGAAAATACTAGTCAGTGAGTGCCAGCTACTAGCAATTAAAAAAATTATCTAAAAAATTAAGGAATAAATAATATCATAATACAATATAAAAAGTACACAAAACACATTAAAGATATTTTTGTTATTTTAGAATTTACTTCTGTGTAATATAATATATAAAGATATTTTAAAGAATGTTGTAAACTTGTAACCATTTACTATACATGTCAATGGCTACCGGTTTCCAACCTTCTTCAAAATGTCTTCTTTTGTTTTTAAACGCAAAAGAAAAAAACATTAAGGTTTGGAGTCACTTGAGGGTCTGCAAATGGTGAGAATTTGATCATTAGCTCAGAAACACTTAGACCTCAATTAGAAAGAGAGTTTGGTTACAATTTATTTTAAGGTTGCTTGTTACAGTTTATGATCAGATGCATGCAATTAATTGTAGTTACTATAGTAAATTCATGGAACATATGCAACAAAGACATTTAAACAATGTATTATTAAGATTTTCCTTGATTTATTTAGTATGGGACCGAAAGAGAAATGACAACCAGCCAATCAATTACGCAAGGACAAAATCAAGTCTTTACCTTAAAGGAACACTCCACCTTTTTTTGGAAATAGGCTCAACTCCCCAAGAGTTAAGCAGTTGAGTTTTACAGTATTTAAATCCATTCAGCCCATCACCGAGTTTGGCAGGAGCACTTTTAGCTTAACTTAGCATTGATGGATTTGATTAATTGTTTAACTCTCTATATCACTATAATATAATAAATTATGCAGCACCTGAAAATAATCCACAGGCTTGATAATATCATTATGCCTGCTGCAGCCATGGTAACACAGCAAAGTCCCCTGATTATTACGCTGGAATAAGAGTAAAGTTCTTAGCCTTATTGACCTAGAAAATATCAACTTTTCATTTTGCATTAGTCTTAGTAAGCCATGTAACTACAGAAGAGTCAAGCTTTAAATAGGAAAATGATATTTTTTGAATTTTGTGAGCGGAATGCTAATGGTCTAATCTGATTCAATAACTTATGCTAAGCTAAAATATAAGCACTCCAACCAGAGCTGGGGATTGGCTAAATAGATTCAAAAATGGTCAAATTCACCTGTTTAACTCTAGGTGACTTGTTTTTCCATAAAAAAACTGCAGTGTTCCTTTAAACCTTTTTTTCAATAAGCCCTTTTACTAATATATACAGGTGAAGTCAGAATAATTAGCCCCCCTTTGAATTTTCATTTCTTTTTTACATTTTTACCAAATGATGTTTAACAGAGCAAGGAAATTTTGACAGTATGTTTGATAATATTTTTTCTTCTAGACAAAGTCTTATTTGTTTTATTTTGGCAAGAATAAAAGCAGTTTTTCAATTTTTTAAAACCATTTTAAGGTCAAAATTGTTAGCCCCTTTAAGCTATATTTTTTCATAGTCTACAGAACAAACCATCGTTATACAATAACTTGCCTAATTATTCTAACCTGCCTAGTTACCTTAATTAACCAAGTTAAGCCTTTAAATGTCACTTTAAGCTGTATAGAAGTGTCTTGAAAAATATCTAGTCAAATATCATTAACTGTCATCATGGCAAAGATAAAATAAATCAGTTATTAGAAATGAGTTATTAAAATTATTATGTTTAAAAATGTGTTGAGAAATTTCTCCGTTAAACAGAAATTGGGCAAAAAAATAAACAGGGGGACTAATAATTCAGGCTGGCTGTATATCTCAACAGAAAATAAAAACCATTTGCCTTGTCCTATTTATGCTGTCTTTAAGATTTCAGTTGTCAGTAAATCTTTTAATTATTCACAGATATAGATGAGTGTAAACTAATTCCAGATGTCTGTGCCAATGGCGCTTGTATCAACATGATGGGCTCTTACAGATGCCACTGCAAACCAGGATACATAGCATCTACTGCAGGAACCGCATGTGTTGGTACATCCCCAAAACTGCTTTATGACCATCAGTCATTTAAATCCACATGATATATTGAAGCATTGCCTGCTTTTCACGGCTGTGTGATTGTGTTTCTGTCAGATGTCGATGAATGTGGTATGTCTCCAAAACCCTGTAACTTCATATGTAAGAACACCGAGGGCAGCTATGCATGTTCCTGTCCCCGTGGTTACACTCTGCAGAATGACAACAGGTCATGCAAAGGTACGAAATATTCTGTTATATTCTTACAATGTTCAGAATGTTAAAGTTTTCCTCTGATTCTAATTTCCTCCATATTCAATTAGCACTGCTTTATTACTACTTTGGTGTGCCATTATTAATTTGTCTCGATAGACCTGAATGAATGCATTGTTTAGAGTACAAATGGCTGTGTAAGCACTGTGTATTGAGGACATGTGGTGTAATTTGAGTAATGAATAGTTTATCAATTGCTGATGACAGAGTGGACTTTTTAGACTTTTAATACGTCGAGATGTCCTTGAGATGTCTTTCTGCCTACAGGGTGAAAGCAGTAGCTTGACTGGAGTTTTTCATTTATAGATGTGGATGAATGTCAGAGCAGACGACACAACTGCCAGTTCTCGTGCATGAACACCATCGGTGGATTCACATGCAAGTGTCCAGCAGGTTTCAGCCAGCATCACAGAGCTTGCAGAGGTGAAACATACGTCCTTCTTAGATGACCTTTGACTACTAAAACAGTAAAAGCCAAATCCAGTGATAAAAACAATTAAATTCAACTCACTAAACGTATTTGTCTATACCCACAGGGGTTAGAAAATTGTCTTTACACAAAGGCTTACATCATAAATACAGTGGTAGTGGGAATAATTGTCTATTTGTACAAACCCTTTTTTACAGTGCATTCGGAAAGTATTCATAGCGCTTCACTTTGTCCACATTAATGACAAACTGAAAAAGATTTTTTTTTTTTAATTGTTGCAAATTTATTTAAAATAAAAAGCCTAAAAAATCACATGTACATCAGTATTCACAGCCTTTGCTCAATACTTTGTTGATGCACCTTTGGCAGCAATTACAGCCTCAAGTCTTTTTGAATATGCGGCCACAAGCTTGGCACACTTATCTTTGGGAGTTTTTGTCCATTCCTCTTTGCAGTACCTCTGTTGGAAAATCAAGCCAATTCTATGCATGTTCATTAAAAAAGGTCAGGAGAGGGTTTTCTTCAATGCCAAAAATATTAGTAATTTATTAGATACAAATGAATAATTCGATGACAGAGCTCTGGGTTAGATTACCCCAATGCAATACAAGAATTACATTCAGGAGGTTTGTAACTAACTTACATTTTCCTGACTCCAGCATACATACACAACTGATATTGACAGGTGGAGATGTGGTTTAACAACACTTATCAGTCATTCTGTCGTCCTTTGAGTGTTGCCCCCAGACATACTTCCTCTTTTCTGCAACCCTTCTCTGAATACCAGAACTAAATAAATTAAGTGCATCTTTAATATGTTGCACAACTTCTACAAGCATCATGACAACTTGTGACATGTCTAGACTTCTTATTAGACAGCAGTCTGGAACAAGGGCCCCGGCACTATATTTATTCTTATTCTGCTATTTCCCTCTTCAAGTATGTCTGGGTAATGGTTTGTTCTGTAGACTATCGAAAAAATAATATAGCTTAAAGGCGCTAATAATTTTGACCTTAAAATGTTTTTTAAAAAATAAAAAACTGCTTTTAATCTAGCCAAAATAAAACAAATAAGACTTTCTCTGGTATCTGACAAATTAAAAAGAACATTTTTCTAATAAAAAATAAAGACACAAAAGTAATAAAAATAAATTCCTTTTTTTCCACACCTCTCAAGCTCTATCAGGTTGGATGGAGAACGACAGTGTACAGCCATTTTCAGATTTCTCCAGAGATGTTCAATAGGATTTAGGTCTGGGCTCTGGCTTGGCTACTCAAGGACATTCACTGAGTTCATTTGAAGCCACTCCATTGATATTTTGGTGGTGTGCTTTAGGTCATTGGAAGATGAACCGTTGCCTCAGCCTGAGGTCAAGAGCACTCTGAAGCAGGTTTTCATTCAGGATGTCTCTACATTGCTGCGTTCATCTTTCCCTCTATCCTGACTAGTCTTCCAGTCACTACTGTTTTTTCCAAACGTAACACCTGGCATTTACTCCAAAGAGTTTAATTTTAGTTTCATCAGACCAGAGAATTTAATTTCTTATGTTCAGAGAATCCTTCAGATGCCTTTTGGCAAATTTCAGGCGGGTGTGGCTTCTGTCTGGCCACTCTACCATACAGACCTGATTGGTGGATTGCTGTACAGATGGTTGTCCTTCTGTAAGGTTCTCCTCATTACACAGAAGAACACTGAAGCTTAGATAGTATTTTTTTTTCTGGAGAAAGTCTTATTTGTTTTATTTCGGCTAGAACAAAAGCAGTTTTTAATTTTTTTTTTAACCATTTTAGGGTTAACCTAATCAACATTAAGCCTTTAAATGTCACTTTAAGCTGTAAAGAAGTGTCTTGAAAAATATCTAGTCAAATATTATGTGCTGTCATCATGGCAAAGATAAAATAGAGCAGTTATCAGAAATTAGTTATTAAAACTATTATGTTTAGAAATATGTGGAAAACAATCTTCCCTCCGTTAAACAGAAATTGGGCAAAAATAACAGGGGGGCTAATAATTCAGGGAGGTTAATAATTCTGACTTCAACTGTATATATTCACCCACGTTGCATCTGCTTATTTCTCACTGTATCCAGAGATCGCCTTAGTGGAATTAACCACTAATTGTTTGGAAATATTACAGCTATATATTTAGTTTACATGTAATAATGATAATAGCAAATAGGCTAAAAAGCAGTATGTTAGTTAGGTGTGTCTGTCGTGTGTCATTTTGCCGTTACAATGGTAAGATGTTGCTTTCTGTCTTCACTCAGATATTGATGAATGTTTGTCAGACCTAACACCGTGTGGCCTGCAAGGAGCATGTCAGAATTCAGTGGGAAGCTTCAGCTGTGAGTGTCCCCAGGGCTTCAGTCTGGACTCTCTCGGCCACAACTGTGATGGTATGAATTATGTGTTTGTGACAGAGATGGGCACATAAATTGCACTTGAAAGGTTCAAGAAACCCTTGAGTACTTTTTTGTTGAGATTTTAACAGATATGTGTGTGTTGAGCATCACATAAGACAATGTTAGCTCATATTAGCTTCAATTGTAGGGGAAAACTGAATACATTTCACTAAATACAATACATATTTTGGAGACAACGTAATTTTTTTATGTTCAATCCACTTCAGTCAAATTTGTAAAAACTGATAGAGTTGTTTCTTTTTCTCAGATGTAGATGAGTGTGCACGGGATCACAGGTGTCAGTTCGGTTGTCAGAATGTTGCTGGAGGTTTTCGCTGCAGCTGTCCACAGGGTTACACACAACACCAGCAGTGGAACCAGTGTGTGGGTCAGTATACAAACACGTACATTTTTTTAAGCTTTTTGTGACATTTAACTAGAGAGCTATATCATGATTACTTTCCATGTAGGCATAATTGACAATAACTTTTGTATTAAGCAGGGATGCGTCGATATGGATTTTTGGTCGATATCGATAACCGATAACTCTTAAGTTATTAATAACTCTTAATAATCTTAAGATTTGGAGTTTGATAGCCGATATACTATTGCCGATAATCATAAATAATTTAAAATGTTATATTTTTAAACAACGAACAACTGATTTTATTTTTAAAACCTTATAAAAGTTTGATCTGATTTTATAAATTTAATAGCCTACTCAAAGCAAAAAAAAAAAATTCAAAATTGCAAGGTAATTATATAGACCTATATTTATAATTTTAAAGCATGCAAAATACTTTTTTTTCTTCGCATAGCAAATTAACATGCAACTTGACTTGTGTATAAAAACATTTGGTTAAATAACAAAATGGGACTTAATTAACAAACACATTTAATAAATATACTTTAAGTTCAATGAAAATGAAAGAACTAAGAACTGAATCCAGCTTAGATGTTCTTGAATAAAACGTGTGACTGTAATGTACATGAGTACAATTATGTATTGTCCGCAAAGGCATTTTGAGAGGTGTTTTGACAATTCAGAGCCACCGTACAAGCAAAAAGCTAATTACAGATAGTACTACTTTAGCAAACGTGGCATGAATTCGTTCCATTTGGTGTTTTAGATTTTTTTGAACACATGTAGGAGCTGTTTGTCAATCAGACAACATTTCTATGTTCGTTCTTGCTGTCAGATGCGGGAACCATGATCGATGAAAGGTTTATAATAAACCGCTGTGAGTTTGAAACTAACTGAAGGTGCTGTGGGATGAAGCGGAAGTCAGATTTATTCTCGAAAGATTTTTATACAACACCTGAGCATTGAGCTTTATGACAAGCTCAGAGCATAATATAAAGACAGAATGTGGCGGTGAGTTGAGAATCCCTATGCTGGATTCAGTGACTGGTGCACTCTCCCCCCTGGTGCTGTGAAGGCTCTGATGGATCACTAGTCACTATGTGTGTACGTGGTAATAGCCATCATGAGCGCTCGTTAAACTATAAGTATGCCGATTAAACTGAATAAAATCTCACATCAACAACATTTGGCAAGCAACGCGTTGATAAGAATAAATCATCATATTAACGTTAGATTTCAAACAACCCTATGAGTTGTTTAGCACGTGCATCGCTGCTATTATGTTTACACATGTAATATTTTAACTTTAATCAGGTGATAACATTCGAAGCGGGTGGCCATATGTATTTAAAATGAGGAATATCGCTATAAAGAAAAATAAGAGAACCCTTGACAGTTCTCAGTTTCGCTGGATTTCCTGTATTTGGAATAGGTTTGAGTTATTATTTTAAAATTATTTATAACTTTTCCTTAAGCAAAATAATCTGCCAATGGGGTAAGCAAAATAATCTTAAATCAAAAGAAAAAAACAAGATTAATTTGCTCACACCATTGGCAGATTATTTAGCTTGTTTTAAGGAAAAGCTCACTTAATATTGGCATATTATTTCTCAAAACAAGAATTTATGTTTTGCTTGTCTAGAAATTGCTTCTAGAAACAGGATAAAAAAATCGAAGCAAGAAAAGCATTTTTTGTGAAGGCATTGTGCTGAAACATTTGAGTTTTTGTATCACCCGAAGAATGTAAAAATAAAAACGGTAGGAAGCAATTACTTCATAAGTGCGAATCATTACCTTTTTAAACAATGCAATATTTTACCCAAAAATAAAAAAATCTGCCATTGTTTAATTACTTCTTACTTATTTCAAACCTCTTTGAGTTTCTTTTTTCTGTTGGACACAAATAAGGATTTTGTTCTTATTATGAAAGTCAATGGTTTGAGCTTTTTCAGAATCTTCTTTTGTCTGAACAGAAGAAAGGTATACATAGAGGTTTGTAACCACTTGAGGGTGAGTAAATAGTGAGTGATTTTCATTTTGGGCGAACCGTTGCTTTAAAATCATTACAATGCAACCATACAATTCATCTTTTCTGTTCTGCAGATGACAATGAGTGCTTGAACGCAGACAACTGTGGTTCAGCTTCCTGTTTCAACACTTTGGGCAGTTTCAAGTGTGGCTGCCCATCTGGCTTCACCTTTGATCCTGCATCTACTAGCTGTGAGGATGTAGACGAGTGCGGGTCCTTCATGAACCCCTGCAGATACGGCTGCTCTAACACACAGGGTGGATTTGCGTGCGGGTGCCCAGCTGGTTATTACAGAGCAGGACAGGGGTGAGATGTGCATGAAATGCTCCTACAGTTCATTGACATACCGTAGCATTTCATATAAGTATAAAGTATAAAATATCATTGATCTATACATTCTATGAACAATTTTGAAGAGAATATTCTGAAAATGGTCCACTCATAGAACACATACGGAACAATATGATTTCTTTTACAGTATGACCATATTTCCAGTACAATATTTCCTTATTTTTGTAGTTCATCATTTTTAAAAACAATTGTAATAGTATTTTTGTGTGATACAGTTTAAATGAAACCCCTTTTAAATAATACCATATAAAACAGGTACATAGTGATCATATTAATCTTGAGTGCCTATAGAACTTCATCTTTGTTTTATCTGAAAAGTCTTTAGTTTTTAAATATTTTAAGACAAAGTTACAGCTCTCCATTTCTGTCTGGGAAAAACCAAGCTGTGGGCATATTTGACTACTACCAACAAGCCAGTGTTAAAAACATGAGCATGGCGCTTGTCAAACATCAAACTATCAGTACTGAAGTAACATTTACGTTTGTTGCAGACGTTTTAATGCACACAATAACTCGGAAATATTAAATTAGCTTTGCAAAATGCATGCTAATGTGAAATAATAATAGTTTTAGCCATACTTTTAAACAGTGTTTTTCACAAAAGATACACATTTGTAGGTAACTAGAACATTTATTATATTCTTCTCCAAGTTAAACAGCCACTTACTTTTGTGTGGTTTAGGAGAAGTTGATGAATTGATGTGGGGTAAATCCAGCAGCTCTAATCACCTCTGCATTGAGCAGATGCATCATCATAGAAACACAAAAGTAATGCATTCTAATTAACTTCTGATAGGCATCAGTTGAAATAGTATTTAAAACTTGTATGTAAAAGGGTTAAATTAACTATTACTAAACAAGATCAGCTTTCCCTTACCTTCAAAGACACATTCTCAGCCAAGCACTGTTGTGGGGGGATAGGCATTTATAACTATTACTGGTAACTTTTCTTGTCTTACTTGTCACAACTGCTTATGTTATGACTCATCATAATGGCCAGTTAAAGCATGATGGCCAAAGTTTGAATCCTTTTACTGGCAGTTAATTAGCAGTTCTCTCTTCCTCCCTCAATATCATAACATAGGTGAGTCCCTTTAAAGAGCCCCTATTATACATTTAAAAGGGTCATGTTTTGGTTCTCCAACAACAGATATGCATGCAAGGTCAAAAAAACACATTCATTGTCTTCTAATATGCATTTATTTTTACCTAATCCCGGCGACTCCCATATGATCCGTTCAGCGAATCATTTGTTCCCAAACCCTTCCTTAGCAGGAACCTAATCTGTGCTGATTGGACCGATGACAATCCGTTGCGATTGGTTGTCGCCATTTTGAAAAAACTGCGTCCAGCGCTAGACAGAGTGAAATGTTCATCATGGCTTCTCAACAATATTGAAGTAGTCAGAGTGCAGAGTGTATGTGTGAGCATACCTGCCAACACTGTTGTTTTTCCCGAGAGTCTCCCGCATTTCAGACCTATCTCCCACCACCTTCCCATTGTGTTGTTTATCCCGGAAAATTCCGGTAATTTCATAGATGTAGTGGAAGTGGATTGCGAGCTCACAAACGCATTTAAATCCGTAAACAAAGCAGCACGCGTCACCTTTTTAACGTGGCATTAGACCATTAGATATGAGAATATAAAGAGTTAACCTGATACAGTACAAGTGGTTACAAGTAACAAAACACAATTAAATACATAATTTGCAAGCTAGAGAAAACAAGAAGGCAACCATTTTAATCACACGTACTTACACTTGTGAAATGGAGGAAGAAACTGGTCCATGAACTGTGTACTGTAAAGTGTCTGTCGAGCTCTGACAAAGTCTCACACATCAAAAGTCTTTTCTGATCCTTCCTTTAACAAACGGCTAACATATCCCCTGTTGTAAGTGTCAGAAAAATCACGGGAACACAACACAAGGCTGGGGCTATAGTGCTGAGGTATTTTTGGAAAAATAAACCTTAACAACTGTCTCTTTACAGTTTCGTCTTTAGGTAGAGAAAATAACGTTCGAGGTTACAGAAGTAACCCTTCGTTCCCCGAGGAGGGGAACGGAAGTGCCATGAATGGGAGGATTCGGATCAGAAGCCGCTTATCTGGAGAGTATTGAACGGGCCAATGAATGAAATTAATTGGCAGCGTAAGCTTGCGCAGGTGTGCGACATCTGCAATTATCTCAGCATATAAGCACACCTGAAGCCAGCAGACGCCATCCTTTTAAGCTGAAGAGACTTTCAAACAGCTAAGGGACAGTCATTATGGCGACGGAATATGGCACTTCCGTTCCCCTCCTCGGGGAACGAAGGGTTACTTCTGTAACCTCGAACGTTCCCCTTCGGTTGGGGAACTTCAGTGCCATGAATGGGAGAATATGGAAAGCGCCATAATGACTGCACCTTACCAACACCCCCGATGAGGAGATAGTCAAGCAAGCGTGACGCACCCACATCATGGGGGGCGCGGTCCTCCAACGTGTCCCTGGCCCTAATTTATCCTACTTCAACAGAAGTTTTACGGATTTAGATATATTTTTTGGGAAGTCGTGAGCATCTAGATAATTCTAGGAAATACGACAGTACGTTGGGAAGCGTGCAATCCCGATAGGGAGGACGCTGCGGAGGCCATCCGTTACCCAAGGGGGGGGATAGATGGCAGAATTTACCTATGGACTAGCCCTAAAAAGGGGGAGTACGCATAGCAAAAGAGTGGTTAGCGGAGAGGGAAGACACGGGTCCGCCCAGGGGGGGGACTTAACCGTGGCGGAATAAGCATATGGGATCGCCTAGTGGGGATCACGCATAGCAGGCACCTATACCCAAAACGCGGGCTGACCAGCGGGCAGACCTACAACGTAGTGGGCCAGCAAGTGACTCCTCCGCTGAGTCAGTGCTGGGGGCCACGGAGGAATCTGCAGGGCTCACCTGACGGGGAACTTTACTGACAGATAAAAAAGGCGCACGTACCTCCGTGTTAGGGAGAATGGCGCCGCAAGCGTGTTTCAACACCCTACCGAGTTGTCTCCTCAATCACCAAAGGGTTACCTAATACCCTTGAGGAAACCGGCTCCACTCGCAGATTGTAAAACCTTGCAAATGTGTTGGGTGTCGCCCAGCCCGCAGCTCTACAGATGTCTGTTAGAGAGGCGCCGCGTGCACGCGCCCAAGAGGATGCAACGCTCCGAGTGGAGTGTGCACGTACTCCCGGGGGACACGGCTGACCTCGACTCGAATAAGCGAGTGAAATGGCATCCACAATCCAGTGGGATACTGATTCGAGTGGCTCAAAGGGATCGGATCGCAGACTCGTGAGAACGAGGGCGAGATCCCAAGAGGGCATGAGAGGGGGGCGAGATGGATTAATTCGCCTAGCACCCCTAAGGAACTGGATGACCAGGTTATGCTTTCCCACGGTGCCGCCAGCTACCGCGCTATGATAAGCGGAGATGGCGGCCACGTAAACCTTGAGAGTGGAGGGCGACAGCCTGCTGTCCAACTTCTCTTGAAGGAAAGAGAGCACAACACTAATCTGGCAATTTCGGGGGTCTTCTCTGCGAGAGACGCACCATTCAGTGAATAGACTCCACTTCAGGGCGTAGGCGCGCCTCGTGGAGGGGGCTCTAGCCTGAGTGATGGTATTAACCACCGCAGTCGGTAGGTTACCTAAGTCTTCCTCGCGTCTAGGGACCACACGTGGAGGTTCCAAAGATCGGGGCGAGGGTGCCAGATGGTGCCCTGTCCCTGAGAGAGTAGGTCCTCTCTCAAAGGGATCCGCCAGGGGAGGGCCGTCGCGAGGAGTGAGAGCTCTGATATCCAGGTCCGGTTGGGCCAAAGGGGCGCAACTAGCAGAACCTGTTCCTCGTCCTCCCTGACCTTGCACAGAAACTGCGCGAGCAGGCTCACTGGGGGAAACGCATACTTGCGCATGCCCCGAGGCCAGCTGTGGGCCAGTGCATCCGTGCCGAGAGAGCCCTCGGTCAGGGAAAAAAACAACTGGCAGTGAGCGTTCTCGGGGGAAGCAAACAGATCGATCTGGGCCTCCCCGAATCGCGCCCATTTCAGCTGAACAGACTCGGGGTGGAGTCTCCATTCTCCAGGGCGTAACAGCTGTCGTGAGAGCGCATCGGCTGCACGATTGAGCGTGCCTGGGACGTGAATGGCGCGCAGCGATTTCAGCCGCGGGTGACTCCAGAGGAGCAGACGGCGGGCGAGCTGAGACATGCGGCGAGAGCGCATACCCCCCATGCGGTTGATATACGCCGCCGCCGCCATACTGTCCGTCCTGGCCAGCACGTGTTGCCGCTCCAGCACCGGTAAAAAGCGGTGGAGAGCGAGGAACACTGCCAACAGCTCTAGGCGATTGATATGCCAATGCAGCTGGGCACCCTTCCAGAGGCCCGCAGCCGCATGCCCGCGACACACGGCCCCCCAACCCGTGTTGGAAGCGTCTGTTGAAACAACAACATGGCTGGACGCCTGTCCTAGAGGCACACCGGCCTGTAGGAACGAGGGGTCGTTCCAAGGGCTGAGGGCGCGGCGACACAGCGCAGTAACCGAGACCCGGTGTGTGCCCGCGTGCCATGCGCGTCTGGGGACCCGATCGTGAAGCCAGTGCTGAAGTGGTCTCATATGGAGCAACCCGAGCGGCGTGACGGCGGCTGCGGATGCCATATGCCCCAGGAGCCTCTGAAAGAACTTCAGTGGGACCACTAGTTTGCTGTCGAGCTCCCTCAGACAGTTCAGCAACAGGCGAGCGCGTTCCTCGGAGAGGTGCGCTACCATGGTGATCGAGTCCAGCTCCATCCCGAGAAAAGAAATCCTCTGCACGGGGGCGAGTTTG